TCAGCAGGGTTTCTTCTCCTGAGGGCTGTGAGAAAGAATCTGTTCAGTGCTTCTCTTCTAGATTCTGATGGTTCGCTGGCAATCTTTGATGTTCCTTGGCTTCTATAAAGCATCATCCTGACCTCTGCCTTTACCTTCACATAGTGTTTTTACTTTGTGCTTGTCTATCTCCAAATTTCCCTTTTTTTAAAGGACAGCAGCCATATGGGATTAGGGCCCACCCTAATGACTTCATTTTATACCTTTGTAAAGACCCTATGTCCTAATATAGTCACTTGGGGTTAGGACTTCAACATATGAATTGGGGGTGAGGCAAAATTCAACCCATAGCACCATGCAGACTTGATTTTTTTTCAGGTATTTCTCATCTCAATGAATGGCACCAATGTCCACCATGTTACTCAAGCAGAAACTTGGGAATCATCCTTATCAAATCACGTGCCTTTATATGAACCTAGCATCTAGAGCTTGTAGAACTTGGAGGCACAATTTTGGACAGGTTTACAAAGGGATCTGTGACTCCCAAATGGCTGACAACCTCTGCTCTGTATCTTTTTCTTTTTTTTAGCGTCTACCGCCTTGGTACAAAAGTAATACATATGTAAGAATTTTAGAAAACTACAGAAAAGCATAAAAATAAAATTAATAATTATCCTATTATTCAATTACCCAGAATCACTTATTATTTTGGTCATTTCTCGTACGTTTTATGCCTTCATTCATTTTTTTTTTTTACTAGTTGGAGCATACTGTATGTAAGATTTTGAATCCAACTTTTTAAAATTCAACACTGAATCATGTGTGTTTCCATATCTTCACAAAATCTTCATAAATAGTTTTAAATGGTGTGTGTTATTCCATCAAATGGATAGATAATGATTGACTTAGATATTTTATTATTATCCCATTATCAAATATGCAGGTCGTTGCTGTTTTTTGACTTTTATAAATAATGCTATGACAACCTTTACTATTAATTTGGACTCAAATAAATATTTTTTTCAGAATTCAGGTATGAGTCAGCAGGGGATAAAGAAAAAAGGTGGACACAGTATCTCTAAGCAAATTATTAGTGTAAATTGAAGGAAAGCTAAGCCTACCTCAGTTAACAAATATCTTAGGTGTTAATTGTGAGTAGTTACTTTGTGATTTAAAAGTTATTCTTAATTAAATTGTTGAGGTAGATCACAGTAGAGTCTCCAGTCAACATTTTGCTCTTCAGTGATTCTTTACAGTCTATAACAGGGTTGTACAATGATGGAAATGTTCTTCATCTGACCTGTCCAATATGGAAGCAATTAGCCACGTGTGACTATTGAGCACTTGAAAAGTGGTTAGTCCAACTGAGGAACTGAATTTTAAATTTTATTTATTTTTAATTGATTTAAATTTAAGTAACTATTTGTGGTTAGTGGTTACCTATTGGATAGTGTAGTTCTATCAAGGTGATGCCTAAACACTTTTATAGTGCTTATCTTTTCCTACATACCCTTTTAAGTGTTTTACATGTTAATGTATTTAATCCTCACAATGACTTTAGGAAGTAGTCTTCCAGTTACTATTGCTATATAAAAAATTACCACAAAACTCAGTGGCTTAAAACAATAACAATCATTTATTTTGCCTGAATCTACAGTTTGGGCAGGGTTCATCAGAAATGGCTCATCTTTGCTCCATGCAGCATCAACTGAGGTTATAGAGTCTACTTCTAAGATATCTCAATTACATAGTTGTCATGTTGATGACTATTATTGATTTTTCTTCTTGGGGGAGCTTGGGTTTCCTCACAGCATGGTGGCTGGCTTCCAAAAGCAAGTGTCCCAAGAGATAGGAAGCGGAAGCTGTCAGTTTCTTAAGGCCTGGGACTTAGAAACTGACAAAATATCACTTCCAACATATTCCATTGGTCAGGCAAAGCACAGAATATATCTTCAAGGGGAGGAGATATAGACCTCACCTCTCCACGGGAGCAGTGCCAAAGAATTTGGGGACATGTCTTAAAGTCATCATAGAAAGGTACAATCATTTTGATTCTGTTTTACAGATGAGGAAACTGAGCACCTAGCAGTTAAAAAACTTGCCCAAGGTGACATGCCTAGTAATTGGCCAAGCTGTTATTTATGCCAGGCAGTCTGACATTTTTTTTTTTTTTTTTGCTGTACGCGGGCCTCTCACTGTTGTGGCCTCTCCCGTTGCGGAGCACAGACTCCGGACGCGCAGGCCCAGCAGCCATGGCTCACGGGCCTAGCCACTCCGCGGCATGTGGGATCTTCCCGGACCGGGGCACGAACTCGTGTCCCCTGCATCGGCAGGCAGACTCTCAACCACTGCGCCACCAGGGAAGCCCTGACCTTTTTTTAACTACAGTGCATCTCTGTAATTCATGTTTCACTAATTTAGATTCATATCTTCTTCAGTTTTTTCCATGGTGCAATAATTATGAAATTAAATGACTGCTAATATGTTTGTAAATCACAAACTGTAAATACATAGTATTTGCAAGGGTTTGCTAGATGTCAAATTAATGATGAACACACATTCTCAACCACCTGATTCAGGAGGAGCTGTTTGGCTCCAATTTGGAGCCCCTCTGCTTTCATCTCTGTTTCTACTGCTTCCCAAAGAGAATTTATTATCACCTCCAGATTGAAACAGACCACAATTCTGAGTAAAACTCTTTCAGTCTTAGCATGTTGCCTGCTTTACCTATTCCTGTTGCATGGCATATGTGTTTTTAAAAAGGAATTAATAAATAACACACTTAGAATTATAAAAGGAGTTGAATATTCTGGGTTTTACTGAAAGTAAATCTTGAGGTTAAACCCTAATTTAGATGATATATTTGCATATGTTTAGGGAAGTGTGTGTGTGTATTCTCTTATTTATTTATTCATTTATTTATTAATTATATTCTTGGAAGAGAAATCAGAAAAAATATATAGATTATGCCAAATTCTAGAGGTTGCATGATAAAATAATGAATGCAACCTTTTACAAACCTAAGAAACCAGCAGTTTCCTTTCATGTTCAAAGATAATGGATAGTTCCATGAGAGAGAGAGAGAGAGAGAGAGAGAGAGAGAGAGAGAGAAAGAGAGAGAGAGAGAGAGAGAGAGAGAGAGAGAGCGCCTTTTGTCCTGTGGCTTCTGTTTGATACTATTTGCTGCAGTAAAGAAATGTGGTCACTTCACACCTAGTCTCTGTCCCCATGTAATCATTACAACACGGGTATTTTTTGGTTTTTTTTTTCATCAAAATACTCTTGAGAGAGTTTATAGTTAAATGCATCTAGCTTTCCAGTTTCTGGGTTTCTCAAGCAATATGTGTGAATCTCCATGATGTAGAAAAGCTTATTTTATTACTTCAGAATCTGAGTATCCCAAATAGTGAGACTTCACTTCAGTGAAATCCCACATTTTTCTTTAGTCCACATCCTACCTGACCCACTCCTTTGTTTTTGTTTTTTTTAAATATTTATTTATTTGTTTATTGGGTTGTGCTGGGTCTTAGTTGTGGCAGGCAGGCTCCTTAGTTGTGGCATGCATGTGGGATCTAGTTCCCTGACCAGGGATCGAACGTGGGCCCCCTGCATTGGGAGCGTGGAGTCTTATCCACTGTGCCACCAGGGAAGTCCCTTCTCCTTTGTTTGATAACTCCCTTCTCATTTTATGTGTGTGAACTGGTATTTTGTTGATTTTCCACACAGTCGGCTCTTTCTCCGTTATCTTAACTGGCCGTATCTTATGATTGTACGAGCCGGGCTCACTGTTTTTCCGTCTCACTCCTTCATAGATGTGACTCAGTTCCCCATATATGGGAACTTCTTGAGAGCCTACGTAGCATGCTCTTGGGCCCAGATATCCGGCTGCCTCTGGCGTAAGTCCATGTGGCATTTTGACTTGTCCAAAAGCAAATGTCTCCTTCTCTCCCAAAGATGCCCCCTTCCCAGCTGCCCCATGTCATAAAATAGGTCCCCACTATTACTGTTTCTTTTAATGCCCCATGCATACCTTCCTCGGCCTTTCTCCCAATCTCTCATGCCTGCCCAGCTGTTCACTTGTTTAGTGCCTGTTTCCGATACTACCCTACAAGCTCCAAGATGGCGTTGGTCATGCTGTGTTATTTTCCACTCTCTCTCCAGCTCCCAGCTGGTGCTTTTCATATAATGGGCATGCCATAAATGCTAATTTGGGTTAGTAAACAAACAAATGCATGTGCTTCCATTTTTATGTTTGTATCCCTGAGCCAAAACTTGATGCCGTCGTGGATTTTTCTCTCTTTTTTCATACACTAGATCTGTCAGTTTACTAAATCTTTCTGGGACATACACTCCATGAGGACAGGGATCTTTGTTTTGCTCAGTGGTATGTCCCAGATGCCTGGAATGGTGCCTGGCATGTAGTTGAGCCAAGCTGAGCATTTACTCTGTTGTAGAAATGGTTCTGGATGTTTTACATGTATTCATTTATTTAATCTTCATAACAAGCCTAGAAGGGTGGGTAGCTACTATTAGTGTGCCTATTTTACAAGACACCAAGGCATGGAGATTAAGTCATCATCCAGCGTCACACAGCTGCTAAGCGGTAGAGCCAGGATGTGACCACACTGTCTCCTGAGTCTGTGCTCTTAACCACTAAGTAGTCTGCTGTGATACCACCTAGTGATGGTGTGTTTGCTCTGTGTGGACCCTTCACTGAAACTCTGTACATTCACTCCACGCTGTGTAGGTACTCTTTTAGAGGAAGAAGCAGAGGCTGGTTTGGAGAGGATTAAAAAAAAATTACCCAGGGTGGGACCCAGGTGCTGAGTAGCAGGGACAGGATGGGAACTCAAGACTGTTTCAGCACAAGCCTGTGTGCCTGTCCTGCCAGACCTGCCAGTCTCTGCGTGGCCCGTGGTTTTGGAAGCAGACTGACATTTAACAGGAACATTTCCCAAGGTTGTCAGAGTTTCCTTGTCCCCAGTAGATGTCTGATGCAGCTGTGCATGTTTCTTCCTCAGACAATGATGGCAGCCGCCTGTTACACTCCAGAACTGAGACGACGCCCTCGCCCACGAACAATGGAAATGGACACCCAGAATACATTGCGTACGCGCTTGTCCCTGTGTTCTTCATCATGGGTCTCTTCGGCGTCCTCATCTGCCACCTGCTTAAGAAGAAAGGCTATCGTTGTACAACAGAAGCTGAGCAAGACGTGGAAGAAGAAAAGGTTGAAAAGATAGGTAAATCACCTGACTTCTTTTTATGGGAATGTGAGTGCAGACGACTTTTAAATCAGAAACCAGTAACGTATATTTTCCATCTCTATAAGGCAAATGATCCATCTTTTTTTATATATTGACATTATGTAAATTTAAAGTGTACAACACGTCAATCGGATACATTTGTATATTGTAATATGATTGCCATTGTAGCGATATTTAGCACCTCTATCACAGTACGTAATTGTCATTTCTTTTTAGTGGCAGAAATCATTAAGTTCTAGTCTCTGAGCAGGTTTGATGATTATAATACAATATTGTTGCCTATATTCACTATACTGTGCATTCGATCTCTAAGGCTTATTTACTATTTGTTCTAAGTTTGTACCCTTAAGCAACATCTGCCCTATTGTAACCGAAGGTGGTGTCTGGCTGCTCGCTGCTCAAAAGCCAATAAAAAGGCCACGTTGGTGGTTTATTTTGGGTGCTGGCAACCGGGGGGTGAGGGGGGAGGGTGAATGGACTCCTGTCCAAAGGCTGACTACCCCCCGCCCCCGACCATCAGGGGGCAAAAGAGCTTTTATAGACGAAGGGAGGGAGCTACATGAAGAAACAGCATAGTCAGCTCTGACAGTCATCTTGAAATTGGTCATGTGGTGGTCTGACCAGTGTCATCTTGATTGTTTTTTGTTTTGTTTTTTATAAATTTATTTATTTTATTCATGTATTTCTGGCTTCCTTGGGTCTTCGTTGCTGTGCACGGGCTTTCTCTAGTTGCAGCGAGCGGGGGCTACTCTTCGTTGTGGTGCGCAGGCTTCTCATTGCGGTGGCTTCTCTTGTTGCGGAGTACGGGCTCTAGAGCGCAGGCTCAGTAGCTGCTCGGTAGTTGTGGTGCACGGGCTTAGTTGCTCCGCGGCATGTGGGATTTTCCCGGGCCAGGGCTCGAACCCGTGTCTCCTGCATTGGCAGGCGTATTCTTAACCACTGCGCCACCAGGGAAGCCCATCTTGATTGTTTTGTTTTTTTTCGGTACACGGGCCTCTCACTGTTGTGGCCTCTCCCGCTGCAGGGCACAGGCTCCGGACGCGCAGGCTCAGCGGCCATGGCTCACGGGCCCAGCCGCTCCGCGGCATGTGGGATCTTCCCAGACCGGGACACGAACCCGTGTCCCCTGCATTGGCAGGCGGACTCTCAACCACTGCGCCACCAGGGAAGCCCTTGATAGTTTTAAGTGCAGTTAATCTTTCCAGGGTCAGTTTTTTCCCATTTCCTTGAGGCCAGTTCTCAGAATTGTGGCAGCTTATGTCGTGGTTACAGCCTGGTCATCATGTAGTTAACTTCTTCCACCTGGTGGGGCTTTCAGTATCTACAAGACAGCTCGCAGGATACGGCTCAGAATGTTATCTACAGCCCTTGAGAAGGAACTAGAGGTCCTTGCTTTGGCTTGAGTTTGCTTAGTGACTATTATTGTCTTGTCCTGCTTGACTGCTTTTCTCTGCTTCTGCATTTTCTCACTTCTCTGATTAAACTTATTCTTTGGCTAAAGTTTTTCCACAGGCAAAAGGCAGGCAGAGGATGTGGGCGTATAGACCACAGGGCCCTGCTCCATTTCACTCTCTCCTCATCCCTTATGCCCTGGTAACCACTCTCTATTTTTACAACTTTGGCTTTTTTAGTTTCCACTTACAAGTGATAACATACAGTACTTGTCTTTTTCTGTGTGTGATTTATTTCACTAAGCATAATGTGCTTAAAGTCCATCTGTGTTGTCAAAAATGGCAGGATGTCCTCCTTTCTCATGGCTGAATACTATTCCATTATATATATATATATATATCACATCTTCTTTACCCATTCATTCCTTGATGGGCAGTTAGGTTGTTTCCATATCTTGGCTATTGTGAATAATTCTGCAATAAACATGGGAGTGCATATAAATCTTCGAGATCCTGTTTTCATTTCCTTTGGGAATGGAATGACTGGATCATAGGGTACTTCTATTTTTAATTTTTTGAGGAACCTCCATATTGTTTTCCACACTGGCTGCACCAGTTTACACTCTGACCAGCTGTGCAGAAGTGTTCCCTTTTCTCCGCATCCTCACCAACTTTTACAAAATGATCCATCTTAAAGGCAGATGGTGTGGTGTAGTGTTACTGTAGATTTCACAGGAAGCACACCTAGAGTTATAAACCTTGCTTTCATTTATTAAATACCTACTAAATCATTTACTCTTATTTGCCTTGTGGCCTCGGGCAAGTTACATATGTTATATATGCTGCTATGTATAATTTAACTTAAATTTAATTTCATTAATTTAATACTAATTTAATTAAAATTTTAATTTAAGTGAGAACAGTAATCTCCACCTTGTAAGATTATTGTGAAGTTTATAGAGAATATATATTTGGTGTTTGTCACACATGGCCACTCAGTAAATATTAACCCTTACTATTATTGAATTAGATTCCAATAAGAACAATGGGAAAACTGAATACGTCTCACCAGTCTTGTGCTGTTAGTTTTGCTGGGGAGTTCTGTCTTAAATCTATGAGGTTAGAGTCTATGTTTATTAAGTAAGAGGTTGTGTGAACATTGCAGTGAAAATATGGCAAGAGCTGGTGCTTTCGTATTGACTTCAGACAGTCTCAGCTTTTCCTCTTAAAGTGGAGTTGCTGGATTGTGTTTGGAAAACGCTGAGAGATGAAATCCTGTTTTCTCCACAGATGTACTTTCCAACCACCCTTTAGGGCCTTGGGGAGTAGTAGCTAACTCTCCTTATCCCTTTCAGCCTCTCAAAGGATAGTTTTTGCAGAAAGGTGACAGTTGGAATAGGTCAGCCTTCAAGCCGGCCCCAAGGGCAGAGTGCGGGAGCTTCTTCATTCCTTGCCAGCTTGCCGCCCTGTTGGTTTTTCCCACCCCCACTGACCTTTGAGCCAGAGAGAGAGGACGGTCGCAGGATGAGTCATGTTTGAGCTTATGAGCAAACCAAGGCTGGGTGTTTGTCAACAGAAGGCGGGGCCTCCCCCTCCTCCTTCCTAGATGCTCTGTAGGTCGGCTTAGCCATTAGCAAGTGCACTGTGCAACCAAACATGCGTATTCATGAGAGCAAGCAGCTTGGATGGAGAAGACCATTTTCCAGGTACACGGGTAGGACACCGCACACCTTGATTCATTCTTTGTGAGCTAGATCAACCCTCCCTCTTCCTTCCTGTGTTATGGAAGCAAATTATAAGGATCAGTTTCAGAGTGGAGATTTGATTCTTTTTTTTCAAGGACTATCCCATGTTCAGAGTCTCTCAAAGTAAACTGAGTCTGTAGGCAATTAACTGCGACCAACATTTAGATCATTTGGAAGTACATTTAAAAGAAGAGTCTTGTAAAAACACAGACGAATAATTACCCAATTTTTTTTTTTTTTTTTTTTTGCTGTACGCGGGCTTCTCACTGTTGCGGAGCACAGGCTCCGGACGCGCAGGCTCAGCGGCCATGGCTCACGGGTCCAGCCGCTCCACGGCACGTGGGATCTTCCCGGACCGGGGCACGAACCCGTGTCCCCTGCATCGGCTGGCGGACTCTCAACCACTACGCCACCAGGGAAGCCCAATAATTACCCAATTTAATAAATGAATTAATTTTCTAAATTTATATAGTACATCTGCAGTTAAAATAAAATCCAAGAAGTTTTCCTTTTAACTGTCTTTTTTCTTTCCATTTCCCTTAAGGGTTTAACAAAACGATGAGAGAGAAATAATAGTTGTAAGGACTGATATAGATACATGGAATTGTTGTCTTGGAAACTGAGTGTGTGTTTGGACTTGAGATCGATGGACAACTCTGATACTTTTTATGCCTCTTATGCCAGGGAAGTCACTGTGTGCTTTCAGTCAGGCAGCTTGGGGTTGAAGGAAGAAAGCAGAGCTCTTAGCACCATGGGGATCAGCTGAACTTTCTGGACACTGTTCAGAGAGGTCTTGGGCTCTAAGACTGCACGTCTCGTTGACCTGATGCAAGTGACCAATTGTAACCTGTCCTCCCCTCCCGTTTCTCTTTCAGAGTTGAACGACAGTGTAAATGAAAATAGTGACACCGTTGGGCAAATTGTCCACTACATCATGAAAAACGAAGGTATGGTTGTTTTAGTGTCCAGAACAATTCAGTATTCGTATGTTTTATTAAAAACCTGCTTCAAAGAGTCATGATTTGTATAGATTGTCCTGTCAATGTTTCTGAAGTTATTGACACCTTTTACCTAAGCTCACAAATAGCTCAGCTTCCAGCATTATCTGACCAGGGGAGTTTCACAGAAGTGTTTTCTAAGAGTCAGTCATCGTAGAGTCAGCCCCGGAGGCTTACCTTTTATTCCTGGCCTCACCTCGATTTGGGGAAAGTCATATTACATCATGGCGCCTCATTTTCCTCCTCTAAAATAATACTTATCGCATAGCATTGTTGTGACATATTGCACATAAAGTGCTTGTATAATAAGCACTCAAATATTATCTATTCCTTTTTTTGTGCTTTTAAACATATTGTGGTAAAATACGCATAATGTAAAATGTACCGTTATACCCATTTTAAAATGGACAATTCATTGGCCTTGAGTACGTTCACAATGATGTACAGCCGTCACCACTATCTAGCTCCAGAACTTTTTCATCATCCCAAACTCTGTACCCACTAAGCAGTCACTCCCCATTCTCCATCCCCTTTCCCTTCATCCTCTGGCAACCCCTCCTCTGCTTTCTGTCTCCATGGATTTGCCCATTCTGTGATCTATTCTTAAGTGTTAAAACTTCTAAAAAGTCTAACCTTTATGGCTTTAAGCACTTTTTTCCCCTCTGAAATGTATTCTAAACCCCCATCTTCCTAATCTTCCCCATCTTCCTAAACTATTCAGGATTAGTTTAATCTTGATTAGGTAAATCAGGGTCATTGTTTTGAAGGTGATTGTCTCCATAAGATTCCGCACCCCGAGTGACTTTTGAGGTGTGTGGCACTCCTACCCATATACCTGTGAACTAAAAATGTCACCTGTCATGTCAGTAAACAAAGGATGTTGCAGCCATCAAGCCATCACATCTGCCCCAGCGGTGCTCCCTGAGGAGACTCAGGGTGCACAGGATACTGGCCCCGGAGAGCTGAGGTGCATATCAAAGGAATGACTTCAGTGAACCCAGACTCTTGCATCTTCCCATACATAGAAAAGAACTACATTCCTTAACTCGAGATGTCTGGTTTTCTTTAATTAATAGTCATCTTTTGATGTTCCGACTACCTGGTCTTTGTTGCAAAAACCCCTGTATATCCTGGGGTTGCCTCTCCAAAGCACTCCCTCAGAGCTGTCTGAGATGCTGTGTCCCGGCCGTAGGTCCTCAGGTTTGTCCACTGAATAAAACATAACCTCTCAACTTTTAGGTCGTGCATTATTTTCAGTCAACATCTCCAGTATCCGCAGATCTCCATACTTTGAATTCTCATGAGAATTTAAAAGAAAATGTTTTCCTTGGGCTCTGTCTGTGCCCTGGTCAGTGCTGACACATGCAGCCTGCACTGCTGCACCTGAGCCATTTGTCCAAAAGTAGAAATACCTCCGTGCTGCTCAGTAAATACATGCTCTTCCATCCCCAGCCGCTCCCCGGGGCTCCTCTGCCCCCATATCCTCACTATCAACTGGAGCATCTGCCTGGCCCGGGCTGCTGGTCAGTTTTTCTGACTAAGAGAAGCAGCAATTTCACATGATTCAGCATAATTTTCATTGTTCTTTACAGAGTGGGTTTTACGTATTTGGCATAGATCTAGGTGCATTATGTGCATAATCTAATCCTCAAAATATTCCTCTGGAGTTGATATTATTATACCCATTTTACAGATGAAGAAAGGAATACTCCAAGTGGTTGGTCACATGGTTAAGGAGCAGCCTGGCCCTACCTGGGTCTCTTTCATCTATACAACATGGCCTTGACTCTCTTCTACTTTGTAGCTTTCAGTTTCTATGGGATGGAAAACCAGATAGCCAAACTTAATAATATGGTGTTTTAAATAACAAGACAGCAATCACTTGGATTTGATGTCTGTTTTCTAAAGACCTTCGTTCAGGGAACAGTATTTGGTGATGCTATCCTTGAGGACTCAGTGGTGCATATTTCTTTCACATAAAAAAAGTGGATTTTAATTTGCATAAGAAGTACACAAATACATTCTTGGCATAGAAGCTCCAGCCATGACAAAATCGCACAGGGTAAGGTTGCTCCTGTACCTTGTGCTTTCGAAACTGCCTTCAGGGCTTTGGGGAGCTTGGAGGCATTTGGGACCTGGGCTTCTGAGAGCTGGAACGGTTGCTGAGTTAGTGAGTGCTGCATGAGGGGGTTACTGACAGGTGAACTGGTTGAAATAAGTCAGCTGTGAAAACTTTGCCGGGGGCTGCAGTTCTCGTGTATAACTTCATAGTAGACACTGAGTGCTTGCTATGCGCCAGGCTCGTTCTAGGGGCTTTCTGGGAACCCTGTGATTCAGATACTTCGTTCCCAATTTACAGTTGAGAAACTGAGGCCCACAGCACTTAACTAACTTGCCAATGTCACCCTGCTGCAAGTAGCAGACCTGAGATTTGAACTCTAGCATCTGACGTCAGAGTCTATACTTACCCACGTGCTGTCACTGCCTCTTTTGTGGTAGCAGGAAAGACGGATGATAAACTTCCTCCTTTCAAAGAGACAACGCATACAGCTGGGGTGTTTTATAGAACTCTTAAACATTAACTCATTAAATTCTCCAAACTACCTTATGAGGTAGATCCTGTTATCACCCCATTTTGCAGATGAAGAAACAGAGGCCCAGAGGGTAAGAAAATTACCCAAGGTCACACAGCCAGCATGTGGCAGGATGGTGCCAGCAGTGGGCCCCTTCTCCTAATTACAGCAGACGAGAAGCCTTTGGGTCCTTGGAGCAAGCAGACTATATAATTTCCTCACCTTCCACACTCACAGACTATAGGGCTGTTCTTTTCTTTTTTAATTATGTCCTTTTCCTTTCAGAAAGTAGCCTTTTGGTTTCTGCTGCCTTGATTACCAGTAGGTATGTTGGAATAATACCAAGGCACTGATTTCATTCTTTCTCCTCTGCTCCCCTGTTCTTTCCCTTCTGTCTTTCTTATTCTTTACCCTCTTCCCTGTCAGGGCCTTCATCTGTCTGCCTGTGATTTCTCAAGTGACCTGTGAGGAAGGCTGGGGGCTCTGATCCTTTGTGTGGCCTTGGTTCTCCTTGGCCACCAGGAGATATCTGATCTCACTGGACACCCCTCTTCCAGCCGTGGCCCTCTCTAGCTTCCAGCCTGTGCCAAAACAGCAGCTGGGGGATTAGATACATACTTGGGTCTCTTACCAGTTGATAACCTAGCTTTTTTAGTTTGCCTTTGAGACTTAAATTCTCTATAGAACAAAATGTATTTTTCTTTTCTTTGTCATTAACAGACTCTGAACTTAATATCAATTAAGACCTCCCTGTTGAGGTTAATTTAACTATTTAAAAAAAATTATCAGCACACTATAACATAATTTTTCTTTAAACATTGAAGAAAAAAGGAATAAAATTGAGTACAAGCCATTACCATTTTTCCATGTTTATTTATGTTTTCTTTGCCTATATTTACATATTTTAAAACATTTGCAGTCACGATATATGACCCATCTTCTGCTTTGCATTTTTAATTTGGCTAATGGGATAATATTTCACCTGTACTCATGGTGACCTTCTTGTTTATGGTTTAAACCTATCATGTCTTGAATGTTGCAAATCAAGTCTTGTTTAGATAAATAGCTCTTGAAGGATGAATTTATTGGCTGGCCTGCAGACTGATTATTTTCCCCCTAATCCTTTCTAAGTAGAGCTGAATTGAAGAGCGTTTGGGTCTTCAATTCAGTGGCCTCTGTTTGGAAGTTTGGAAAGTACCTGCAGCTCCACTGTATGGAAGTTTGGAAAGTACCTGCAACTCCGTAGCTGAGCTTCTCTGCCAGGCCCTGACACTGTCTGAAAACAGCAAAAATTCAGAGCATTGCGATTACTCTCCAAGCGCCCTGGTTATGGTTATTCACACTAGGCAGAGAGAGGGATCCCTTGGTGACATTCTTACCTTGGGGCTCAATTTGTGTGGTGGCAAAAAGGATTCCTTCATAAACTACCATCATTACTGAGTAGATCTCTGGAACTTGCTATAATGGTTACGCAGACATCCTGTGAACTGTTAAACTACTCATCATTTAGATAGAGACTTGGACATTGAAGGAGTAGGTCGGGGTGAAAAGCACCCACCCCAGAGTCAGATAGACCAGGGTTTGAATCTAGGTCTGTTTCTAGCTCTGTTTCTAGCTGTGGGACTCTGGCCAGTCAGTTTCAGTCTTTAGGCCTCAGTGTCTATCTTTAAAATGGGGATGATAACTCTGCCCACTCTTGGGGAGAATCAAACATGATGGGGTCTGTAAAGCTTTTAGCCAGTGACTGGTACATACCAGGATCTTGCCTTGAATGTAAGGGAAAACTTTGAAAAGAGTAATAGTGGGAGAGAAGACAAGGCATTTTTCTTGTCTGATTTTGACTGGTTTATGCATATTATCAGGCAGAAATTCAGGAAAGAAGAGAGGAAGCAGTTTCTGGAAATTACTGCCCACTGGAAAATTTCCCCTGTTCTTGACCGGCTTTGCTTGCCCTATAACTGACTCCTCCCATCCTTTGGATGCCCATGAAGGGAAGAATAGTTGGACAGAATGTTGACAACTGTAGGGGAAACCATCTTTTGCAGCGTTTTGGAGTTATGAGTAATCACAAGGAGGAGAAATATATTCATTAGAACTTAATTGGATTATTGCTCTTTTACAGCCAAATTAAAGCATGGGTTTATGTGCTAATGGTGGTGTTCTGTTAGAGTTTTCTCATCACAGGAAACCAAAAATGTTCCCAAGGGTTAGTTTACTGAGATTTACTCCCTGGTATGGATTGCAGGGTAGACTAGAGACAAGGACGTATGTGCATGTGTATGTGTGTGTTGGTCTCACACACCCACCCTCAATGGGTATGAATGATCAAAACTTGAGTCTTAAAGCATCACCCATAGCAAACAAAGGGGTTGTTTACTATTGTTTCTAAGAAATAAGGGCAAGATACAGGAATACATGAATACATGAGAAACAACACAAGCCCATAAAAACAAGTTTTAGTAATGATTTTAATATATTGTCATAATCTCTCTGGCAGCATTTTATCATCTGATGTTTCTAACAGAGGTCATCATTTTGATTAATTAATTTTCTCAGGTGACTATTTAAACTTCTGTTTATGAAAAGCTCATTCTTATAAGTGAATGCTATTAGTGTTATCTTTGTTTTCATACCTTTTTTGTTGTTATTTTTCCCTCTTTTCTGTTTATAGTTTTGAAGTTTAGTAAATAATGGCAGAATATAAATCTCAACTGGCAAATTATTGTGTTTTCCCTAAACTCTTTATCTGAAAGAAAATTATTGTTCTGAATTCTCAGTATTAGTTAAAGGGAAAATGATGAGACTGTACTTAAATTTGTCTTACAGAGGGTAATGTGCCCTTTTTGTCACGTGGGAAAAGATACTGCTGATCCATTTCAGCACTGTTTTTGTAATGATAAGAGTCTTATTTAGATCAAACCTTGTGTTTGGACATGCATTTGTGCATCTTCACAGATAGTCATGAAAGGCAAAGAAAATATTTCTTTTTGAAAAGGATGGTATGCTCCATCAATATGTCTTCAGAAACCCCATACATTTGCAAGGGTTGTGAAGGGGAGAAAATTAGATTTTAGGGGGCAAAACCCCCTTACGATTTTATATGTAAAACACAGATATGCGTATAGTACATAAACGTGTATATCTGCAGTATTATAGTTTCATGGGAGGGTGATTAGGAAAAAAATGTAAAAAAAGGCTTCTGGGTGGAGCAATAATGAAAACAAGTTGAAACACTGGATACATCTTTAGCTATTAGCACTTAAAAGCAGCAGTGTTGAAAATAGAGTTAATTTTCCTCCTCTCGGATTTCATCTGAGATGATAAATGTTGGTGTTGGCTCACATGGTAAATAGTGATTTTTAAATTGTTTCATTGTCTCTGGGGAATTTGGTGTGTTTAATCCTGAGGACAGTGCTTTAAAAATCAATGGGAATGGGTCAGGAGTCGGTCATCACATCTGGCCTTGCCCGGAAATACCCAAGAGAAACTTGACCATTCACTTCAGTCTTTTATCCTTAAGACTTTTCACCCTACAAAAGACGAAAAGAACATGTGTGTCTGTGCATGGCGGTGGGGTAGGCACCCAAGAAGCTTAGATTCAATTTGCTTTAGTGGACAGCCTAGGCACCCCCTACAAATTTGGATTTTTTTTAAAAAAAGTTAACATTAGAAGTCTAATTTAACTGATGGATGTGACCAACATTTGAAATTTAAAGCTATCTGGCTAGAGTTAAGGTCTTGTATGGTCTGAATGGCCCACCTAGAAAATTAATCCTTTCTCATCCCTGATTCTATGTGGGATAGACTTGATACTACATGGGTATCCAGAATTTAGGGCTAATTTGTTGAGCATGTATAAGTTATTAAAATACAGGTCTCTTGAGACATACATTTTATGACATATTTAGCAAAGTGAGTTAAATTCAGTTTCCTTTTGGTTTGAGAAGGGGAGAAAGATATGGCTTCTATGTTATATTGCTAATGACGTGTAGGAAACAAAGCTCTGTGGTAGATCTGCTTTCCTTTGCATAGATTCTCTGTCACTCTCCCTAAATTCCTGCGTGGTGAAAAGTATTGGCAGATGGTGCCACATCTGGGTTTTTCTTGGGAAAGACCCTCCCTTCTCCAGGGCCCCAGGGCCTCATTTGTGAGCTGAAGGAAATCAATTAGGTGTTTTCCAAACAGTTTTTCTGATATGATAATTCTATGATCACTCATATGATTGATTCCATTTTAATTCTTTTTTTAAATTAATTAATTAATTAGTTTTTGGCTGTGTTGGGTCTTCGTTGCTGCAAGCGGGCTTTCTCTAGTTGCAGTGAGCAGAGGCTACTCTTTGTTGTGGTGCGTGGGCTTCTCATTGCGGTGGCTTCTCTTGTTGTGGGGCACGGGCTCTAGGCATGCGAGGTTCAGTAGTTGTGGCACACGGGCTTCAGTAGTTGTGGCTTGCGGGCTCTAGAGCGCAGGCTCAGTAGTTGTGGCTCACAGGCTTAGCTGCTCCGTGGCATGTGGGATCTTCCCGGACCAGGGCTCGAACCCATGTCCCCTGCATTGGCAGGCGGATTCTTAACCACTGCGCAACCAGGGAAGTCCCCCATTTTAATTCTTGACCTTCTTTTTTTTCCTTAGCAAATGCTGATGTTTTAAAGGCAATGGTAGCAGATAACAACCTGTATGATCCTGAAAGGTGAGTGCTTTTCCCCTGATTTTATGGGGCTTTCATTTTCAGTTATCCGCTAGAGCAGGTTTCTGTACTTTGGCACTATTGACATTTGGGCCAGGGAATTCTTTGCTGTGAGGAACTGTCCTGTGCATTGTAGGACATTTAACAGCATTCCTGGCCTCCACTTACTGGATGCCATTGTCCCTTTCTCCTGCTGTGTGACATCCCAGAACCAACGCCTCCACACACTGTCAATGTACCCTGGGGGCGAAGTCGCCCCTGGCTGAGAAGGGCTGCATTAGAGAACGGTGTTGAGAGGGAAGAGTAGCCCTGGAGCTGGGGACCTGGGTGAGTGTTACCTCCACCACTTCTGGATCCCCTCTTCTCTGACAACTTAACTGAGCACCCTGAGCTCAAGTTCCATCATCTATAAACTGGAGATAACCACTGTACCAACTTAATTGGAATATTATGAGGAATACCGAATACCTCGGGCATCGAAAGACCTCTATGAACAATGATGATTAAACGAAAAACCAGGCTGGTTTGGGGGCACCTGCTAAGTTCTGTTCTTGTATTACCAGTTTTAGGTTATGGTGGTTGAGTATCATAGTCCTTCCTAATTAATTACAGGTAACTGTATTTCTATGTAAGTTTTCATGCTTCATGGAGCATTTATTGAGTGCCTGCTGTGTGCTGGGCATGATGCTGGAGCCGGGCCTTCACAGATCCTTGCCATGGAGGACGAAGTCTAGTGGGGAGTGGAGACAAGAAGCAGGGGCTGCTTGTAGGCAGAGAAAGTCCAGGACAAAAGGCCCGGGAGAGTGAAAGTGTGGGATGCCTCTGGGTAACGTTCAGTCTGGGGTGGCCCGAGTTCATGCTATGGACAGAAGCAAGAAAGGCCAGGAAGGCAAGTTGGGTTTGAGTGACATGGCAAGGAGTTTGGATCTTTTCCTGCTTACTCTGTGGGTGGTACACCCAGCGCATCTTAGCTATTTCATACATGTTTGTCAAACTGGCCACGTTAGATCTGCATTTTAGCGAGGTGACTTAGTGCCAGAAGGCCAGTGAAAGGAGCTCTGGTGGTGTAGTTTATAGAAACATACGAGCTGTGGTTTCCGCCACACTCCAGCCCTGACCACAGACTCCTTGTGTTAGGACCATGTCACCTCATCGAATCTTTGCCTCAGTCATCTTAGGGCATCCTATAGTCCCTGTCATTGGGTTTTGTGCGCAGCGTGTACTAGATAAACGTTTGTTGAATGAATGTTGTTAAATTTTTTTGTCTACTTTTGAAGTGGGCAAGTGGGCTGGTTACCAGCAGCATAAAGGCTGGCTTATGCTGTCATGAGACTTCTGTATGCCTTTTGGGCTCTCAGCCCAGTCTCAGGAGTCAGGTTCTGCTGTTATGTGCTGCCCTGCCCACCCCACCTACACCAGGTCAGAGGACTGATTCCTGGTTGGGCTGGCCCTGTCCTGTCTTATTTCCTCCTTTCCTAGTGGACCAGAGCCTTGACACGTGCCTTTTGAAAGCAGCCAGCATCTGACCTATATATACTTCTGCTTTTTATATTTTGGATGGTACGGCTGGGTTTCTTCCAGGTTATCAGAGTGATCTCCCCTGTTTCTGAAGCACTGTAGCATGATGGTTAAGATCATGGTTTCTAGATTTAGTCTTTCTAGATTTGGATCTCAGCTGTCGCTTACTAGCTGTGTGACCTTGGGTAAGTTACTTAACTGCTCTGAGGCTCAGTGTCCTAGTTTCTAAAGTGAGGAAACTAATAATACCTACCTCAAGGTTTTGTAAAGATCAGTGGAATTAATATATATCAAGCGCGTAGACTGCTAAGTGTTAGCTATTTTTGTTATTACTATGATCAACATCTGTCTTGAGCATCACTTTTGATGTCTTGACCTAAAAGCTTTCTTCCTTTGACACAATAGTCAGATTGGATCAAATATTCTATCTTAAGTCATCCGATAATTTGATTGGAATTTAAGTTTTTCTCTCCTCCAGGGCACATATATTCGGGGCATCTCTTAGCTTAGAGATCTAGGAGGAACTTGGGTATGTGTGAGGAATTAGTTTACTTGAAATTAGACTGCATGCAAAGGGAGATCAGCCATTTGGAAAGAGACCTAATACTTGAAAGACAAACAGTGCATCATCATTAGAAGCAGTGGTTTATTTCCGGCCAGTTAATTCCATACTGGAAGTGATAAATCACACTGTTACTGTTTAAAACGAACTGTCATTGTCTAGTCATAAGAGCTGAGTACCTGCTGCCTGAGATCAGTTCACGAAGCCCATTTGTATAATTGGAAGAGGCATTTATTTTCTTTTGATTTAAACCTACTTCTTATATTGCAGGGGGAGAGAATGCCTTAGCTGGTATTTCTTTTAATAACCAGTTCGACCTTTTCCTTTTTTTTTTTCCCACCTTAGCCCGGCGACCCCTAGCACTCCTGGGAGCCCACCTGTGAGCCCCGGGCCCTTGTCGCCAGGTGGCACCCCAGGGAAGCACATCTGCGGCCACCATCTGCACACAGTGGGTGGCGCTGTCGAGCGGGACGTGTGTCATCGATGTAGGCACAAGCGATGGCACTTCATAAAACCCACCAACAAGGCCAAAGAGGGCCGCTCAAGGCGCCAAGGAGAAGTTACTGTCCTCTCTGTGGGCAGGTGAGTCCTGGGGGTGCTTTGGGTTTGTGTAACACAGTTGCTGCGCTGTGTGGATTTGTACACCCGTTAAATGTAGAGTGTGTTCTCCTGAGCCTGGCTCAGGTCCTATCTCTGGGCTTCTTTGATGTTTTCTGGTCTGAGTCCTGTATTTTTCCAACAGCAGAAGAATTCTAAGAGGTGGCTATTGCAAGATCAGGTGTGACTTGTATTAATTAAGGTAACTAATTACTTGCTGTATTAGGGTTCTACAGAGAAGCAGACTCAATAAGATATATATATATACACACAGACACACATGTAAGAGATTTATTATGGGAATTAACTCACACGATTATGGAGGCCAAGAAGACAGGAAAGCTGGTGGTAATTCAGTCCAAGTCCAAAGGCCTGAGAACCAGGGGAGCCGGTGGTATTAGTCCTGGTCCCAGTCTGAAGGCCTAGAAACCAGGAATGCTCATGTCTTATGGCAAAAGAAGAGGGATGTGTCAGCTCAAGTAAAAAGAGCAAATTCAGTCTCCCGTTGCCTTTTAGTTCTGTTCAGGCCCTCAAGGGATTGGATGATGCCCATTCTCATCGGTGAGGGTGATCTTTACTCAATCTACCAATTCAAAGGCTAATCTCTTCTGCAAACGTCCTCACAGACACACCCAGAAACAATGTTTTACCAACTCTCTGGGCAGTCCTTAGCCTGGTCAAGTTGACTCATAAAATTAACCATCACACTTGCTCTAATAGATAAAGCCCAAATCTCAACTGTTAGAGAATGTAAATTTGTATTTCACTTGTGGAAATCGAAAGATCAGTGGTGGCTCTTGAAGCAGTCACCCAGAGCCCTGGGTCCTTTCCATCTTGGGCCTCTGCTGGATTTGCTAGCAGGAGAAAGTACGCAGAGCATTGTTCACAAGAGGGTTTTCAGGAGATGGGCCTGAAGTGGCACATTTCAGTCTTGCTCACATTCCTCTGTCTGGAACTCAATCACTTGGCCACACCTAATGGCCAGGGAGGTAGGTAACGACGGCCAGGAAGAAGGGAAGAGATGGAGCCTGGTCCACTGCTCTCCAGCCTCTGCCGGGTAAGATCCACGTGGACCCCTGGGACTGCTCGCTTTTACTTCACCTCCTCCTTTCCCAGTCCTAAAGTTCCATTTACCTGTGACCCATATGTGATGCGGAGATCTTGCAGTTCAAGTGATAAACAATTTGACGATACGGTATGCAGAGCATTTTTGGTTGATTTTGAGCCTCCTGCAGGAACTGCAAGGCTCGTGCTGCACGTGCAAAGGCAGTAGAGAGTAATGGTCGAGAGCATGCCTGCTGGCACCAGACTGGGGAAGCCCTGAGCAAAAGCTGACAGTGTTGCCTACATGATCCTTCTCTCCTTACTGACAAACTCTGGGAAGAGTAGCCTGGACTCACTGAGTCACCCTCATTTGACTCCTGACACCACTACTTACAAACTGTTACTTCTCTCTGTGCCCCAGTTTTCCCCTCTATAAAATGGGGATGACAGTAGCACTCACCTTATCGGGTTGCTGTGAAGACTAAATAAGGTGACTCAGGTATAGGTCTTAGACCAGTTTGTGGTGCTTATTATATACTCAAGAATTGTTGGCTATTATTATTACTGTTATTTGAATTCCATTGAGTTTCATCATGTGTTGCACAAGCAACAAGGAGAAGACTCCTTGGCTCTTTGCCACTTATAACAAAACAGTGCAACTCATGACCACACTGTTTTATTCAGAGCAGAGTCATGGGAACTTATGAATGTGGAATGCGGTGAGAACCTGTAACTTGTTTGGACAAAGTGTATTTTGTTTGCTTTAAAAAAAAATCTGCTGAAACTTTCAACTCAGATTCAACATGGCTTTTTTAAACGCCCCCAATCCAACTCTCCGTCTTGGAGATAGAATAAATACTATGACTGCTGAGTGATTACAGGCTGCTTTTCAGCAAGTGTTGCTGAAAGAGGGTCTTAAAGTTTGACCGAATAGGTTTGTGGTGACAACTTTTTTCCTGATCCTCCGTTCACTGCTTCAGAGTCTCCTTCCTCCTTCTGGTGGGTGAGCTCATTTTGGACAAACAAGGAGAATTTATTTTAGATGGTTTTGAGGGAAATGAAGACCAAGACTAGAGAGAAACTGCTGCGAAAGATTTTAGGGTTTTGATGGTGATGGACGAGAAAAGCCGTCCAACTGAGTACATTTCTTTAACTTCTCTCTTAATTCTTAAGGAAAATCTCTTTCTTAAATTCCTTAACCCTTAATGAAAACCGAAATTTGCTTCAAAAACAGAAACAAAAAAACCCAGACAAAACTCATGCAGACACAAAAACTCTGCCACCCGACTGAAGCTGATAAATGTGTGTCTGGGGCCCCGTTTATAGAGGTAGACCCTCTGCTGGGTGAAATTTGAGAAGACAGTTCCCTAGTGAACATCAGATTTGCAAACTGGTCAGGCTTTTATCCAGCCTTCTGTTGTTAAAACAGCTGATGTTTAAGCCCAGGTCCTTGTTAGAAACCACAGCTCTGAGGCTGTTTCATATTTGAGTACCCGTGTTTCTTAGTGCATTTCCCATGCTCTGTAAACTGTGCAGCAGAGTCTGATGTGTTGAGTGAACATCGGCTGGGAGCTTTGGCAGGACGGTTCCTCCTGTTGAATATGGTGGTTTTCTTTTCTTTTTTTTTTTTTTTGTGGTACGCGGGCCTCTCACTGTTGTGGCCTCGGATGCACAGGCCCAGCGGCCATGGCTCACGGGCCCAGCCGCTCCGCGGCATGTGGGATCTTCCCGGACCCGGGCGTGAACCCATGTCCCCTGCATCGGCAGGCGGACTCTCAAGCACTGCGCCACCAGGGAAGCCCTTCTTTTCCTTTTAAAAAAGTTTTTATTGAAGTATAGTTGATTTACAATGTCATGTTAATTTCAGGTGTACAGCACAGTGATTCAGCTATATATATATTAATATAATACGTATATATTAATACATATATATATATATTCTTTTTCAGATTCTTTTCCCTTATAGGTTGTTACAAAATATTGAGTATAGTTCCCTGCGCTATATAGTAGGTTCTTGTTGGTTATCTATTTTATATATAGTCATGTGTGTATGTGAATATGGTGATTTTCATTGCTGTCCTAACTTCTGGCTGAGTTTGGGATCCTCCAGGTGGATGATTTTTACTTCATTCATGATTCTTGTTCAGTGGAAAAGCAAAACCCGTCACATCTCCTCTTTCCCCCACTCAGGTTTAGAGTTACGAAAGTGGAACACAAGTCAAATCAGAAGGAGCGGAGAAGTTTAATGTCAGTTAGTGGGACCGACAGCGTCAATGGGGAGGTGTCTATGACACCCCTGAAGAGAGAGCGAAGTGGCACAGAGTAGCAGGTAAGTTGAAGTTGTGGTGACATTGGGGGTGGGTGGTACATGGCAGGGAGAAGGTGCCCAGAGCCTCCCTGGAGTCTGTGGTAATACGGGAGTGACTTGGCAGGGAAATGAGAAGTACTTTCCTGGAGCTGGTAAGGCTGTAGGGGTCGGAACACCATTACTTGTCTGCCCAGAGCTTTTTGTGAAGAGCCCATCAACACAGGTGCCTCCAGGGACCTGGCCTATATAATAATGAGTGGGGAGGATTACTTAGGGGGTAATGTGGAGTGGTGGGGACTGGAGCAAACTAGAAATCACATAACCCATCTGTTAGGGTTTGCATTACCACAAGGCAGGAAGCACTTAGTGTGGCTAGATCTTAGGCAAAAAAGGTGGAAATCTAGACTTTTTTTTTTTTAGCGGTACGCGGGCCTCTCACTGTTGTGGCCTCTCCCGTTGCGGAGCACAGGCTCCGGACGCGCAGGCTCAGCGGCCATGGCTCACGGGCCCAGCCGCTCCACGGCATGTGGGATCTTCCCGGACCGGGGCACGAACCCGTGTCCCCTGCATCGTCAGGCGGACTCTCAACCACTGCGCCACCAGGGAAGCCCCTACAGGTGAAATCAACAGGTTTTTAAATGTTGGCGGCCTGTTAAAAATCCTTTAAATGACCACGCAGGCCGAATGAAATATAATCTTGTCGCCATTTCTAGGTAAACTGTGATTCGAAAAAGGCTTGAGCAAGCAAAGCAATGCTTTTTTCCTTTGAGTTGGAAACCAGTTTTGTTTGATGTGTCACAGTTCTAAAATACCCCCAGTAGAAGTATTACTCCTTCTACCAAATATTTTGAAGCAATTCAAAAGCAAACGTGAATGCTTCTTGGCTTGGCAGTTTTAACTTTGGGAGATATTACTTAAAAAAAAAAGCCTGTGATAATTTGATATTGGCTTAGCCTTTATCTTCTTTGCTTTCTGTTCTGGCTTGAGTCCCATTCATCCCTTTCATGTTACTTATTATATGTAAAAGGATGAGTGTGAGGACTCAGGAGTGACCAGCTCCAAAGTCTCCAATGGAACGGTCAGAGCCTGAATGCTAAGGCAGAAGAGGTTCCACTTCCAAAGGGAGGGGGAGGGGGGGTAAGGGGGGGAGGAATAGCCAGGTCCTAGAAGGTACAGGGAAACAGCAAGGTTGAACCTGAGCCTTGGAGTCAGGCTGCCTGGTTCAGGTTCCCGTTCCCCACTCACTAGCCCTGAGACCTGGACAAGGTGCTTGGGCTTTTTTATGCCTCACTTTCCTCACCGAGAAATAAAAATGATGCTGCTTGCCTTGAGGGATGGCAATGCGATATCAGGGAAATAACATGGGAAGCCCAGGACCTGGCAGATAGGAAATGCCCAGTTAGTGCTACTGATTATTTTAAGTGGCCAGTTTGGCGGAGAAGGGGCTTTTGAGTGAAGCTTCTGATAACCTGCCTGGGCTCAGAGGGGTTGAGGATGATCCAGAAGTCATCTGGGGGCTTCCCTGGTGGCGCAGTGGTTGAGAGTCCGCCTGCCGATGCAGGGGACACAGGTTCGTTCCCCGGTCTGGGAAGATCCCACATGCCGCGGAGCGGCTGCGCCCGTGAGCCATGGCCGCTGAGCCTGCGCTTCCGGAGCCTGTGCTCCGCAACGAGAGAGGCCACAACAGTGAGAGGCCCGTGTACTGCAAAAACAAAAAAACAAAACAAAAAAACCAAAACAGAAGTCATCTGGAAGAGTTGTGCTCCTGAATTCTGTAAGACGTAGGGGCTCTGATAGCTTTCCAGCACTGGTTCTTGCCATTTCGCCCTTGGGAAGATCTGGCCGCTTCCCCTGAGTTGAGGAACCCAACAGAGGCTTTCTTTAAAGACGAGACATGGAGCAGAAAAGTCTGTCTTTGGCTTCTCAGCCAGTTACTGGTGCCTTGGGAAGGGAACCCAGAGGAATTTAGGAAAACGAAGAGGATGATGATCATAAAAGCAGCTAATGTCAATTCAGTATTCTAGTCTTCTGGGTGTTGTACTGAGATGTGTCTCGCATGTCACCATTATAAACATCTCCTAATGGGATGGATACTATTACCCCAGCTTTATAGATGAGGAAACCAGTGCACGGAAAGGGTAAATTACATGTTATGGATCACATGACTGGAAAGAGGAGCTGATATGAACTGAGGCCTGTGACTGTAAGACCAGCTGCACTCTTCTGCCATCCTGGGGTGCTCATGAAGGGGCAGCCCTAGATCCATGAATGAGGAACATCTCCACCAATGATCTGGAACCTGGTGGTCTAATATGGTAGCCACTAGTCACCTGTGGCTACTTAAATTTAAATTAATTAAAATTAAAAGTTTCATTCTGCAATTGCACTAGTCACATTTCAAGTGTTCAGTAGCCATAGATGACTAGGGTCTGCCAGATACAGACATTTTCCATCATTGCAGAAAGTATTACCCACAGAGTAGATGGTACCTTAGATGTCAGAATTGGAATCCTGAGTGACTTTGGTAAATTAGAGAAACATTCTGATTGAAGTCACGAGGACTTGGCTTCTGGGACGAGAAGTATGTGGCTATTCAAGTCTAAGGTGAGGAAGGCCCGGCCAGTTTAGCTGCAAAGAAAGAGAAAGCATGAGCTGTAATGACAGTTCTGCATATGAGTCATCAACCTGGCAGTGTGCTGAGAGACAGAGCAGAGGTGGGTAAGAAGACACTGCTTGCCCTCGGGCAGGAAGCGCAAGGTGATCCTGGGTTAGGCTCAGCCAGATTCCAGCCTTGCTAAAGTGCCGTGCCCGGAGGGAGGCACTCAAGGTCTGGGAAGGTTAAAAGAATTAGGATTGCTCAGGTAGTTTTCTTGGTCCAAATTCTGTCCGTATCTGGATTTGATCCAGTCATCTGAAAATCCTGACCACATCTGACTGGTTTACAACTTGATACTCTCTGCAAAGCACGCAATCTTCTTACCGGGATTTTGTGAAAGAGCATTGGATTTGATTAGAAGACCTGGGCTCTCATCATAGCTTCGCCGCTTGGAAATTGTCCTTAACTGCCCTTACTCCAGGTTTCCTTGAATGTGAAATAGGATATTAAATCCATCGATTGAAGGCGAGTGCCAGGAGAGCATCTGGCCTGTCATTGGCTCTCAGTGGTGCTGTGCCGTCCAAAGGTGCAACGAGCACGAGTGACCTCAGAAAGGGGGTGTGTTTTCCGAGCCTTCAACATAATTGTAATTAATTTTGGAATTAAAAAAATAATTTTTATTGTGGAAAATTTCAAACAGACTCAAAAGTAGAGAGAATAATGTCACAAATGCCGATGGACTAATTTAATTATAAGACGTACTGCGTATTGAGTATCTACTATGTACCGGGCATGCTTTAGAAGGCATATTCCATGTATTAACTGATTTAATCCTCACAACAGCAATAAGTAGGTGCCAGTTTAAGCAGAGAGAGTTGAGGCAACTTGTTTAGAGTTACCATCAAGAATGTGGTAGAGTTTAGAGCCCAACCCAGGCAGTCTGGCTCCCGGAGTCCCAGACTTCACCACTCAGCCGGGTCCAAGGAAAAACAGGTCCTGTGGTTAGAGCCTGCTGAGGTTAGGACCTGCTGAGTGATGATGTCTGATGAGCCCAACAGAGAATGGACTCTGCGAAAGGAGGGAAAGGACTATTCACTGACACTCAAAACTATGTATGTACTTATGAAAATTTTTCTTGCTTGGTTTCTTAATATTTCTCATCCTCCGAAAGAGTATGTTTGGGCGATTTAATGTGACTTGATTTTCCAACAAGAGAGATCCTGAAGTTTTTCCTTCTAGGCCCAGAAGATCTCTGGTTCTGAGCTGAATAGGAAGATCTGCAATAGGAAGATACAATAAGACAGGAGTGTTATATACCTTTTGTACTGTCTAATACAGGTTTTAGAGTTGTGTTTTTTTCCTGAAAAATATTTTTGTTTAAATTTGAATTTTTGGCCAAGCTATTTTACTGGAATGCCTTGTTTTAATATAGAACTGATTCAAATATTCAAATGCAAATGCATATCTACTCATTGGTTAGGTTTCCTTCTTTAAAAAAAAGAAAATTCAGTGTCTGATACCACCAACTAGACTTAGGATTTCTCTCTCTTTCTCCTTCTCTTTTTAAAAAACAAAATCTGCTGTTTGGCATTTCTTCCCCCCTTTATTATTTCCCCCCTGTTTCCTTTGCCTGAGTTCTTTTTTGTAGCTAGATCTGACTTGCACTCTGCCTGATTTATTTTGACAATGCAGTTAAAATGGTTTCTTTTTTCCACAGAAAATGTGTTTTGATTTCTTCTTAGAAGAATAAGCTTTTGTTCTTCAAAGTTAAATAAATCAAATTGCTTTCAGCCTCCAAATGCCACTGCCTTGTCTTCATTATCATTGGGCTTTTGCTTTTTAAAAATGATGCCATCGTAAGCATTCTCTCGCACATGTTTCTGAAGTATCTACCCCCCTTTCCAGTTTATGGTAGTATCTTATTGAAAACGTTGATTTGGTAAGTTTACAGAAAATATTTTTTTATCAAAACAGAAATTCATCGTATTAGATATCTCTGTTTTAAATCGTTTTATTATTGAAGCTATTCTATTAATTCTTATATCGGTCATTTAGTTTAGTGATTAAGAGCTGAGTTTTAAACTGCTTAGGTTTAATTTTAACTGTGCCACTAACTACCAGTTGTTTTCAGCAAGTTACTTAACCTCTCCAAGCCTCAGGTTCTTCATCTTTAAAGTGGTGTAGGGTGTAGTGGTGGATGTAAATGACATAATACATGTGTACAGTTCTTAAATCAGGCTTTGGCACAGAGTTAGTATTCACTAACTCACTATTCACTACTATCAATAATTTCCATCCCATTCTCAGGGGTCCTAGTTAGTTATTAGCCCATTCCTCAAGCATCACTTTTAGATACTGTAACTCACTTTTTCCTTCTTAAGAACATTAGAGCTTTGGAGTCTGATGACATCTCAGAAATAGATAT